GGATTCTCCTCATAGCCTCCTTCCAGTAATCGGTCTTTGGTAAGTCTTTTATGTCCTGTTTGCTGTTAACAAACAGAAAAAGAAAAAAAAATAAAAAACACGTTTTCGAGTAATAATTTTTATTTTATTCGTCTAATTTTTTAACACAATTAGCGTATATAAAATCTATAGTTGTTTCGTTTAAATGAGGATGTATATCTAAAAAATCTTCAAATTGTTCAGTGTTCATATATCTTATATGAAAAAAAGTACACGTGTCACATTGATAACAATTTTGTATTTCTTTTTTCCACTCGTGATAAGTAGACACGAGATTTCTAAAACATTTACCCGCGTTTATTCTATAGTTTCGTAATGTAAATTCCGACATTCTAAGAATTTTATACCAATCTCCGTTACAATAATCGTCGAAAAATTGAAATAACGGAGTTCCCGCCGTATAATATTTATCAACTAACGGTGGTCTTTTAAACGTTAAAGGTTTTATATAATTCAAATGTCTTTCTTTATCTCTAAAAGTATTTTCACAAATGTACAATATTCTGTTACACAATACGTACCGATAAATGTTTAAATCTATCACATAGTCTGCCATTTTCTGTGAACCCACCAATTTCTTCGACGATCCTCTCGTCGTGAGATAAGTAGTTAAGAATTCTTCGCCATGCTCGGGCGTCAAGCCCGGCAGCTCGAACAATCCTCTTTCTACCGGCGACGACGTCTCTCTGGAACAAGTAGCTTTCTTGGATCCATCTACATCTACAGCTTTGAGTGGACCATTTACATACGTGGACAACGTGGATGTGTTCTCTGTGACTCGCGACGATATACCAGTGTAAGGGGCTATATTTTCTAATACTTTCCGACAGTTCTGACATACATCGTAATAATCCATTAGGTCCGCTAGGCACACATATTCTGTGGATAAATCTATGTTTTCCCGAGACGTGTTTATTAGCGATAGTAACGGACATTTCTCCAAGACAGTCTTCAAATTCTTCCTCAAAAGATTCATAAAACGAAGTATTTTCGGATATATCGTCAAGTCTATAGCCTTCATTTGTTTCTCCATCTCTACTTTCTCCATCATCGTCTTCGTTAATAGCGGACCAGTCCGTTTCCCATTCAAAAAATCCTCGTTGATTATCAAAAACATTAGTATTAGATTCCACATCGGAAATTTCGTCTCGTTCTCTTCTTCCACATTCATAGTCGTTAACACTTGTATCATCTCTTCTTTTTCTGTTTTTATTTCCAACTCTAATCTCTCTCGGCAATATATCACAAACCTGGGAACTGTCATCTCTAAAACTTCTGGTAAGATTGACTCTTCTGTTTCTTCTTTTTTCGACTTCTTCTTCGAGTTTTCTGAACTTTCTTCCGAGTAACAACGCTTCTTCTTCAATTCTCCCAGCGTCATTTCGGTTTCCTCGGTTGTCGATTCCAAACATTCTAAAAAAGACATTATTATTTATAATAGTGTACAATACAAATACGTTTGTACGTTAAGTTACTACTAAAGCCTTAGTGTATTATTTTTCACCTTATATATTAAATGTCAAAGTCAAAAGAGTCGAGTGGTACCCCAGATTTAAATTCCGTCGAGTGTCTCTTGAAAGTCAAGTACCGTAAACACTTTAGATTATTTTATTCATAAGAGCACTCGAACGTGATCTTTAATAAGATAAGAAAATTATAATAAAAGAATAACAACAACACCAACTACATAATGACCTTGGGGACTTAGAAGAATTTTTGATATTTTATGCCTATGACGTCACTTAACTCAGAATCGTATTCTATTTGCATTCACTAAACTCTCCAAACTGGATACTTGTCGAAATATAAAATTTTTAATTTTATATTTGACCTACAGCCACACCAACTACATAGTGACCTTGGATGGGGATAACACAGCGAACACATTTTAACCATGGTATCCCGCTATAGCGGGCTATAGCGGGATACCGGTTAAAATCCAGT